GAATGCCTGAACCCCACATAGACCTTCGGAAGTTTCTTTTCCCTTAGTCAGTGACATACCTAGGCGTCTCATTTAAACACCATATATTTCGCACATCATGTGACTGATGCTCTCAGTCAACAGGAAGGCTTTATTTCTGAGCTGCTCGCTCATGCTCCAGTCTTGTTTTCTGTTAGTCAATAGAGTGATTTACCACTGCCTGTGGGTTGCTGCATTGGACCTATTACTCACCTGCAATATTTCTTACTATAGCGGGAACTACTTAATTGGTCAGCAAAGTAATTGTTTTGTTATAGCAGTGTTCCGACAAAAACACTTGTTTACACTGTTTTGTATGTACTCATAATACTTCATGAAAATGGTTTGTTTAAAACACACTCCTGATGCAAGCCAGTCTGATAATGGTACACTTCACATTTTCTATCAACATCATCGACCCGACGGAAGTGCATCTTTTACCATAACTGCAGTTCGTCGCAGTCCAGTTCTGTTAGACGGGCTACCACTCGTCTGGAACAGCTCCAGGCTGCTGTTTAGACCTGGGTCTCGTCAGCGGCGCACCGTGCCTGGCCCTGTGCCGGGTTCCGACCGCATGACTTCCGGATGTCAGTAGTTTGTGCCACTTAGCGAGGGGTGACGGCGGAGGACCTGTATGAATAAGAACTGACTAGGATATAGCCCGGCTTATCTTCCACTGCCGTCTGGTGCATTTCCAGACGTGTGAGAACCTTCCTGACTGGGTGGACTGCGACGAGCTAAACCTAAAATTACACCCAAAACCACACTACTCACTAGTAACCAAAAATCCTTCAGTATAGCTTCTAAGTGCTGTTTCCTACACAGTCGCTATGCGGAAATTAGTAGCTCCGGGGCCAAACGCTGTCCCATGCATAGTTCGTAATTTGCATGGCAGTTGTTGTTGTCGACTACCTGGTTGGGTTCCGAAAGATGCAGCTACTTGCTAGTTGCAGACCTTGGAAGCTATGGCTCAAGATCGATTCCAGTGGCAGATGTGTGTATTGGTGTTTTGCGGTGTCCCTCTATACTCTCCCTAAAGAAAAGAACTGAAAAATTCAAAAAAGCAGATGCAACCTGGACAAGAAAGAGCTTTCGTTGGTGTTATTTTCTTATTATTCATACTGGTTACCTATAAAGCCATGATTACAGCGGCACGATATCTGTACCACATATTGTGTATACAATAAGAATATAAAAATGGTAGTGGAGAATAAGCTACGCTAAATCGTGAGCAACTGTCAGTCTTGCAGCTCCGCCGCCGTCACCAATCGTTTAGTCACACAGGCTGCTCTCATCCGGAAGCCACGGGGCTCGCAACCCGGCAGGGGTCCGGAGGGGATGCGTAACAGAGGCGACCCAAATGGTTTAGTCGTCCGTGGCTTTTCCAAACGTGTGGGAGCCTGCCCGACTGATTAATGCTACGATGAACTACACCTAAAACCACACCCCTATCACCAGTACTCATTTGTACCAAAAATTTATTAACAGTCCACCAGAGTCGATTCCAATTTAGACATCCCACCACTAATCAGAAGGAACATTGAACGGCCATTTTGCTTTTTCCAGTGTCGTTGATGCTGCGCATCTATGATTGCATCGGTAATTAAAACGGTTACATCTGAATAACTATGGCATGCGCAGTTGGAAAGCACCTCACGTCAGTAGACTACTGGGGACAAAAACAGACTGTCATAGCTTACAAGCTAACTGCGCTATAGCACAACTCATTCTAAAATGCGATAATAGATACAAACGTTGCGGCGGATGGCTTGCTATCCTGGGTCACTGCCTCCTACAACAGCAGTTATGCGCGACGCCACATTTATCAGTTGTTAAGAAGAATCTTTTCAATTTTCAAGTATAGAGTACTTTTGATCTAAGTTTATTTGGAATAAATCGCAACTGGTCCCAAGTCGGATAACCGACCACGCTTGCTTTCAAATAATGACGTCTCATCGCCGTCCGCGGCGGTTTACTGCATAAGCTGCTTATCATTGGTGAAAGCCGTTTGTGTCATGGATCAGGTCTCTGAAGAACTCGGGGTATGCGCATCACTGACGAGGCTGGTTATAACGAGACAGTCGTCCGATGTTCTTGCAGAATCGTGGCTGGGCATCTGAGTTGGAAGCTATAGTGTAGTGCATGCGTTACAATTACGTCACAGGTCCTCCACTCACGGGAACTGTAAGTCCATTTATGCCAGCAAATGTGTCTACCATTTTTCTGTCGCTACACATCAAGCCCTTTTTCTGCGCAGCCTGTATCCATTTGCTCAGGCATCCACCAGCAAGTTGGGATAATTGTTACAAAAATATCTAAGACGCTTATCGTTAAGCTATTTTGCTCACATGTTAGAAGCTTTATTCTGTTTACAATAGTAAAGAGGTGTGATTGGCACAGCTGCACATTTGTTCGTCGTCGATGCAAAAAGCTCCTTTCTGACTTGAGTTGATTCGAAATCGTACGTCGCAACAAGCTTCACTCCAAACGATAGAAAACCTTTAAGAATCTTTGAGCACGCCCAACAGACGGTCGATTCGGACGAAATTTGGATACGAAAGCTTAACGTGTATAGAAGGAATATCGCCGTAGCATAAGACATTCTTCATTGGGTTTACTTGAGACTGAGTATCTGCCAAAAACGTATTTCCTGAAGATGATACCTTGATTGGTCTGGAAATGTCTGCAGCCAGATTACGCAACTTGAAGCTCAAGTAACTCTCTAACAGCTAATCAAAACGGCAATAGACTCAATTTGTTACAGCATACGAGGTAGCCAGTGGCCACAAATCCCATTGACTCCAATAGCGATCTCAAAAATAACTTTTGTTGCTAAGTTTCCACCCGGCAAACGTTGTTCACGGTATATCCACTGATACCTCAAAACAATGCAACCGTAAGTAGTTGCTTGCCTGTTGGCATATTACAGACCCTGTCTGCACAAATAGAGCGCCAGCTTTCCATCTAGGTGCGTTTTCGATTGGGATGTATATGAGGAAAACAGTATAAATGAGGTAGTTTCTAACTGCATTTAAATAGGCTGAAATATTTTTCACCTTCCCGACCTTAGCTTAAAATTCTATGTTATACTAAAACGGTACCTATTTCAGCGTGAATGACCGATAGGTTGTCGTTCATTAGTCGTTTACTTGCTCCTGTTTGTAAAACACAGGTTAGCCACAAATTAAGCATGCCGAAAATGTGTGTAGCGTTACAGCTTCCGTACGGAATCATGGTGATATGGGGACCGAATTCCAGTCAGCATGGACGGCATTTGTAATAGGAAAGGCGTACTCCCGGATACACTGGAAAATTTGTTTTGAACGGCCGTTGAGTGATTGAAATTTGACTCACTGGAACAGACAGAAGCACAAATATCGTCGGGTACTCACAAGGCTTCAGCGGTCAATCAAGCGCACACCAACCGGTCACTGATGCTGGCGGGGACTCCCAAACCAATGTCAAAACGGGGAAGCAAACATAGTGCGTAGAGTTTGCAAGCCAAACTTCTGAATCACTGCAGCATGCATCACAAGTAGTTGGTGGCACTATTACAATACATAATGTGTTTACAATTTTTGATTCAAATCCTAGTGAAACTAATGTGACATTTGTACCAGTGCAATCCATGGTTGGGTGTCATAAACAGCTAGTCTCTGTACACCGTGTCTACCTCCAGGAAGATCTGACCCGGATTAGCGAATGGGCAGAAAAGAACCAGCTTCCACTGAACTCTGCAAAGTGCCGCCTGAGGACGGTGCACAACAGCTTCATCAACACATACCTTTTGGGGCAACACGTTATGCAACACGTGACTAGTGAACGCGACAGGTATAATCGTGCAAGAGAGTCTTGGAAATTCGCTCCAATGTTCGAAAGCAGTAAGTGTGACGAACTTGAGACTTTTGAGGCGAGCACTTGGCACTTTTAAGCGACAGCTAGTACCATTGTTGATTAACTCCTACATTCGTCCTCATGTTGAATATGCATTTCAGGCCTGGTGTCCACGTTTAAAACGAGACATCCGCCTCTTGGGACAGCCCCAATGAAGAGCCACAAAGGCAATGCGTGGACTATCCGGTATAAGTTACGAAATGCGTCTTCGTGTACTCGGTGTGTTCTCATTAGAATACCGAGGGCTTCGCGGCGATCTTACTCTCACATACCGGATACTAACCGAAAGCGAGCAGCCATGTACATCACTGTTGACTTTAGCTCCTTACAAACAAAACCGAAGCAACCAACTGAAACTAATGACGCAACACTCTCGTTTGAATTGTAGAAAGTATTTTTTCTCACTTAGAATCTGTTCTCACTGGAATGCATTACCAAACTATGTGGTGAACGCACCAGACATGACGACAGTCGAAAGACTTTTAGATTTTCATCTTGGTGATAAACGATAGATAACACTTTGCTAAAGTGCAATCATTTAACCACTGACACTTTACATTCCATGTTGGAACATTTTGATTTTAATTTTCTTTTGCATATCCATCCTGTGGGCCTTGTAAAGTTATGCTTTTTATCCCATCATACACCATTGAACCTCGGCCATCCATTTCGTTTGACCAGTATGATTACACACCACTTGGTTTTCAGGGTGATTTGAGCACTGTTACTCCTCATACACTGTTTCTCATCTACTCTGCACTCGCTGTATCTCTTGGTAAAAACAGGTTGGTTTCAACCAATATTACCGTTATCCATATTCTTGTATTCGGCATCGCTGTTACGTGTCACCGTTTGCGGTCAGTACTTGAGTAACGCCGCACTATGCTAGGGAAAGCATATAACTATCAAAAGTAGAGGCTTATCGTGCAAACAAAATCCTTGCTTCCGGTTCAGTAATTGGAGACTGTTATGTTCAAATAGAAGCAACGATAACTGTTCAACATGGGCAACATTAAGTAAATGAGACCACAGTATGAGGAAAATGTGATGAAAACAACCCATAGAGGTTGGATGGATCTTAGGTATATTTATGCGTTCAAGATTTTTAGTTCTTCTTGTTCATTTGCTTCCATATGTGATGTTATAATTTTGGTCAGAAATTTGCCAAATTCATCCCTGAACTTTTCGCCCTGATCAGCAAGGCAGCATGTGACACGCGTAAGACGTTCGAGATTGGCTGCTGAGGGATTTAACGTTTGTATACCGGAAGAAAACGTACGTAATCGCACAACATCCCTGTCTTTCCCACTGGATTTGTCGTTGCATATAACACAAAAATAAACTTCTTTCAAATCCGTATTCTTGGTAGTTATGGTGTACCTAAATAGGAAGAAATAATGCTTAGATTGACATCTGATTACCAGTCCTGAATATCACCGGAGTGTTCGGCCACATTTGGGTTATAAACTAGCAACACACCATTTGCACTTTTGAAAATGGCTGGCCAACAGCTTTCATATCTAAGGACAATAAACGTGGGAAAACACGAACTAACTTTTTATCGCCACTTAAGTCCCATAATTCGATATCCAACTTGCAGGGCTTTTCACGAACAGGCATGTTTATTTCATATTCAAGTATACTTTCAAGCTTACGGTTCTTTGCATCAAATGGCTTACCGAACACCAACCGTTGGTCTGTAATCATTCGCAGTCTGTTCGATTGCTTCCGAGAGAAAATTGCACACATAAGTTTTTCCGCACTGATAATACTAGATGGTTACATCACTTACAGCAGTCGGCCCGACGGCAACAATCTTAAGATGATTCATATCCAGATATTTTATCAAGCGTGAAACAATTGAATTGAGGCTCGCAGTGCTAACGAATCCGATTGCAATAAGGAATCAATGCCCGCAAGCACACTGATGCGGGAGAGCGGACAATATTTCCAGCTGCAACACAATTGATTTTGGCATAGCATGCGAGGTCAAGCAGGACCTTAATTTGCAAAGAGCTTAAAGTGAACCGAAATTTACTTTTCTGCTTTACTGTACCGATATATGTATTTCAATTGTTTTGGTCTACCTTGACACCTGCGTGTTCTCAAGGTACGTTATTACATTCGCGCCAACGTCAGCTCTAGGTCCGAGCTAAGTCTATTCCGATTCCGACTAATCCGAGCTAAGTTGATTCCTACTAGTTCATACAATACCGTGATTGGCATTGCAGCATCAGGTTTGACCACGGATCTATGCAGCTTGGGTAATTTGGATATTTTTCCGGCGCTCATGATATCTAAAACTACTTGGAACGTTTCGGAATTTGCTGCATAAGCATACGAAAGTTAAAGGGAGAGCCAAACAGCTTATTTCCCCAACGTTATTGGACAGGAGATTTAGAGACTTGTGAGGAAGTTGGCTTTTCCTAACCCGCGGCTTTAATTATCACAAGTTTCACTGAAGGCACTACTGCAGAAATACATCAAAACCTGAAAGTTTCGCAGTAACAGTAATGGCCAAATTTGACACCTTTGTGCGCAAAGGTGATCAGTATCTATGGTTTTCAACTTCCTACTCCAAACTCAAGCTGAGCGCTGTAATTTTGTGACTAGTTGCAAACTTATCTTTAAGACCGTTCGATCGTTGGAATCAACTTGTCTAACTTGCAGCGTAAGTTACTCATATTTGAGTCAATATTTTCGTCTGTTAGGGCAGTCTGTTATACGTAACAAGATGCTAAAAGCACCGTGAGGGAGGAACATCTGCTGTTACGTAATTCCACCTACATGGGTCAGGTCTAAAGAAGCAAAACCGCGGAAAGTTGCAACGCCAACTACATGCAAGAAGCAATGGTTTTTAGGACGAGTATGAAAGCGAATGTTTGATATGTCCCGTAAGATGATGAGAGTACAAATAAAAATTTTAAAAAACCGTCAGTATAAGAACGTGTGAAATACATGACTCACCAGGGGATTTTGAGTAGCACAGGCTATATCACGTAATGTAAGTGTTTCAGAGTATCGTCAAAGGGTTTTGTTGGATAGAGATGAAGTGGAAGCATTAATTACATGTTCCGGGAGGTCGTTCCAAATCTGCGACACACGGAGGGAGAAAAAGTTGCGTCCACGGTCCAGCCAGCTATAATACGTGGCCAGCTTAAACTGATGACCCCTTAGAGATGTGTTTTGATTCAGTCGCAAAAGAGAGTGGCATGTATGATTGGGGTTTCTCTGGATCTGTTACACCAGTAGGAGATCGCTTCTTAGACGCCGAAAACGTCCGCTGTATATCTTAGGGATTTTAAGCTGAGTGGGTAGGGAAAGTGGGACAATCCTCTAACGTACTTTATCGCCCTGTGTTGCATGGTGTCGAGCGTGTGAGATGGTGCTTCTGCCAGGGTTGCCAGTCTTGCATAGCATATTCCGTGTGCGGCCTCACGTACACGCCAAGCATTTGTGGAAAGATTGAGGCATCAACCTTCCCGAAGGCTCCACGAAGAATGCAGAAGAGTCAGTTTGCTTTCTTAGGAACCTTTGCAGTCTGCCTTAAACTCCCTAATTAGAGTTTATGGAGATTGCCAATGGTTC